TGATATATGTCAACCTTTTAAAACTTGTAATATACTATTTAATGTTTGCCAAAGCACGTTAAGGTCCGTTTAGAAAAGAGTACTTAAACCGTATTTCACCACTTCTCCGAAACTGTTGCAAGATATATAAATCTGTTATCGCACCCCTCAATTTGCAACAGCATGATCCTGAATTATGCATAGGGCTTCCCAAAAATGATTTGTGAATGACCTTGTCACAGAAACGTTCCTGTGAATAACTTCTGGTATCTCGTCCTTGAGGTGATCAGCGAGAGCTTTGCCCAATTACGTGCGGCTGTCGAGCATTCGGATCAGTTGCGCATGCCTAAATGTTTTTCAATTGTCTGAATCGTAACTTATGATAGTTCCAAATATAAAGACGATGAAATCTAGTAAATTCTTGAGATGTTTGTACTCGGTTCTGTACTTTGAGCAAATACTTGGTGTTAACATCTATGCGTCAATATCCAGTGCCTGTCTAATTTACCCACATACGACCATAGATTTTATTCTGTGTTGGACAGGTTCAGTGACCAGATTCTCATTTCAGCTGATTTGTAATTGTCATGAATAGCCATTTGCCCTTCTCATACATCATATCAAAACAATTTAGATACAGTGAAACCTGTCTAAACCGGCACCCCACGGGAACGAAATAAAATGCCGGTTCATACAGAGCGCCAAATTAGACACTGACGATCATTTTCCAACCTGGCTGCTATTTACAGTCGCCAATCTCTTTATCTCTATAATGCCTTTGATCTTTCGTAATTGTGCAACAATTTAAACAATTTTGGTCTAGCCATTAAGGATTAAGGGACCATGCCGGCTTAGAGCGTTTGATTCACCGCGGAATCACTACTGCCTGATTGTTTAGCGTGCCAAGAGGATTAATTAGTGTACTGGGTTGTGGGTCCTTGATTGGACTGCTCATACCCATGCCGGTTGTCTGTTTCCAAATAAAAATCTGGAACATTTTAATATGCATCCAAATATGGTTGTCCGTCACACTGACCAGATCTGTTCAATGTTCAGCGATTAAAAGTCAATCAGAATCTGTGTACATCTGTTCCGGATTCTCAGACATCTCGACAGGAAACAGCTTATACCAACACAATATTTATAACATGTTTCCATTTCATTCCCTTGAGCTATGTGTACCAGAATTTGCTAGGATGTTATCTCCGGCTCATAATCCGGTAAACCAGATAATCTGTACTTCTTGACGAAGTTGAACATCCAGAACCCCCTTTTTATTTGTTGCATGTTACGCCCAGGAGAGGTGAAAAGTGAAAGAAGGGTTTTAATCTGAATTCAGATGAGGCAAAGAGTGAGTGAATGCGTTGAGTTGAATGCATTTGAACATTCTTCCAGTGGCATCACGCCTAAGGAGAGCCCGAAGTGAGGCAGGTCACATAGGGTTGCACATTCTTTTACAAGGGTACAACGGAAGTACGTTGATTGCAAACCTTGAAATATAATCTAGGCCAACAGATGTGACCATAGGTTTCTTTAGTGCTGTTTTCCTCCCATACTTCACTGGTTGCAGTTTAATGAAAGTTTATTTCCATTGCTTTTTAATTAAAACGTGATAAACAAATAATACAGTTTTATGTTTTTATTGCAAACGAAACTGTTTCCGGAAGATGTCAAAGGAGAGGTGACTTCATCCATTCTTCGTATATTTTGTCGAATCTCTCACTTTTCGCCACAGTGAAGAAGTTCTTCCAGTCACCACTTTCGCCTGTCAGAAAATATCTGTTTATTCTTCTGATGTATGTAATATTCATCTCTAACCAGATAATGCATAAGGGACAAAACTACTCTGGTTAACGAACGAACATATATTGTAATCGACCGTGATCAAATTGGACTCTCAATCGAAAATAAACGATAGCATAAGCACATGGTGTTTTTCTCGTATCGACATTGTCAAGGTGGAAACATTTCTGAACTCTGAAATAATATATGGGATGATCAGTTTTAAGAAATTATTCATAATTCTCACCGCGTCCTTTAAATCAGACGAATACTACCTTAGATATGTTTGATGCCGCTGCAGACGCTTTTTCTCGAGTTCCAAACTTTAGAGCAAAGACTTCAATTTGGAAACATTTTCAATTGATCTCTTGTACACTCACAACTGAGTCCTGACAATGGACAGTGACATTATTTCAAAAGAAGGAAACAGTAATTTCATTACCTTAAACCAAGTGTTACATTAGAACTTTCACAATATATTGCAATATATATTGCAATACGCCAACACATATCACAATACATCGCAATACCTTTTAACAGTATTTTATATCGCATTCTAAAGAAGAGCTTCCTTATAAGCATTGTTCTGATACGCCATTGATGCTTGAGTGTTATAGTTCTAAAACTTCTTTCTGTCTTGTTGATCTTAGTATGTGACAAAACTGGAAAGGTGTTTACAACGCTTTGTGATAGTTCTAAACATTGTTTTTGAGGGGTCTGTGACAGTGTCAGTTAACATTCTGTCAATGCCCATGCCATTCCACACATGCAATAAGATATCTGAATTAGTTACTAATGTAAAAAAAATGTCTCCAAGTAGCTTTTTAAAAAAATGGACAGCTGATGTTAACACATGTGTTCTACCGATAGTTTTGCGTTCTTTAGCATTTTTGGGGAGGGATGGCCGTGGTGTATCGTTTATTCTTTCATTCATTCACATATGTATTTCTTTCTGTTCTTTTTCTTTATTTCTTTCATTCATTCACATATAAAAAATTCTTGCTCTTAATTCATTCATTCATTGTAAATTCCGACTGATACAATACACTGGCTGAAGTACTGTTAAACGCAGCCGAAGTTGCGCTGGGAACGAACCAAGTCTCTGTGTGCATTGGAGCATGTCGAGGCACACGTTAATTAGTACAAATGGTAAAGAAAGCAAGCAAAAGACCTATCCCTGTTGTAGAGTACCCCTGATCAAAGTACACAGCTTGAATGCATAGTCCATCTATCACTTGATTGTCTGGTTTGCTAACAAGCCTCCGTTGCATGGCAGCAGCGCGGCCGCGCGATATTGGCTGCCAAGTGTTATCTTTGTAAGCAGATTGGTGGCTGCCACTGACAATGCAGGACAACCTTTCCCTTTCATCTGTCCATTAATATGATATTAGCAGTTTTTTCAAACATTCACACCAAATGAAATTTGTTTCTGAGGATAGTTCAGACCGGGTATTCGTTTTTGTTGAAGGGTTTTATTACAAAATGGACAAACAAATATGACATGATGGTGTAACAAATAAGGCTGTCTTTCACCCAGGGATGAGACCCGTGTGCTACGGTCGGAATGGCTGACGTATCTTTAATGCTGTAACTTCGTAATTCGTGAAGGATAACCCTGGCACGTCTTTCCCTTAGTTGTAGGCTTGGACATTCCGATATAATGAACCGCGAATCCCATGTAGGATGCAAATATGTAAAGCGTATATTTGACACAGAAACTGTCTGCAGCTAAGCTTGTTTATATATATGACACACTTTGGAGTGTCTCAACCTGTTATTTCGCATACTAGCGTTATGCTTTGCTTGAACTGAAGACCCGCATGTAATCAGTCAGTGAAATTGTTAATGTTACATTAAGTTTAAAATGAGATATTTAGACTGTCTCGTACATGAATCTGTAGAGTATGATGGTGAAGAACGAGGCTTCGCCACCAAAGAAACTGGAAAGCAGGCGCACTGGCTTAGCCCAGGAAACTACTGTCACCACAGGCAGAATGGTGTATACAAAAGCATAGCGTTTGAATTCCCCTTTATCTTTTGCAAAGTGGGAGGTAGTAGTGTTGGTAAAAGAAATGCCTAAGTATCAAGACCCTTCCATGGTTTGTAATCACAGGCTATGGGGACCATACAATGCTGAAGGGCGGGATAGCCTAGTTGTTAAAACGTCCGCTGTTCACACCGAAGCCCGCGTTCGATTCCCCACATGGGTACAATGTGTGCAGCCCATTTCTGGTGTTCCCGCGGTGATATTACTGAAGTACTGCTCAAAGTGGCGTAACACCACACTCACTCACTCGTACAATGCTGATGTGAGGCACTTGAAGGTTAACAGTCACACAACCATCCCATCCTACTGTGTACCCATTCCCTGTTGAGCGAGCAGAGGTATCGTTCAAACAATTTCACTTCTCTTTGTAACCATGCGGGATATTAACAGACTATTACTGATCATGCAGAGATACTTTCATCGTTTCTAACTCGGAAGATGTAGGAAGCCGTGTGATTTTCACACTAATCTTTCCCTTTGATATTCTGCAAGTGACGATACACCGGTACGGATGTGATATCGACTATCCCTCAATTCAGGGCCAAAACGTCTTTATTAACAGTGTCCTGTCTATAGAACCCGTACGTAGGTCACGCAACTTTGGGAGACCTTAGTACTCCAAGTGACAAATACTTGGTCCGGTCTAGTAAAGTCATATTTGGCGGTCGCGCAGTTTGGAACCAGAAATGATTCTTGAATATACGCTTGTCACGGGAAATCTGGTACCGAAAGTAAGCTGGGTCCCGTCTCCCATATCGCATGTTGGCGCGCGCAAAGAGAGCCGGGACCCAACTTAGCACCGAAAGTAGTGCCTCGCGAGATTTACAGGTCCTATTTAAGATTGAATCGTTTACTGATGGCAAGCCGAAGAACTGTATTGTGTTCAATATCAAATGATGTTCACGGTAGGTCACGCATATCGAGATAATTATTCTCTAAGGTAAGGGGCGGTGGGCTAGCCTAGTGGTTAAAGCATTGGCTCGTCACGCCGAAGACACGGGTTCGATTCCCCACATGGGCACAATGTGTTAAGCCCATTTCTGGTGTCCCCCGCCGTGATATTGCTGGAATATTGCTAAAAGCAGCGTAAAACTAAACTCAGTCAGTCAGTCAGTCAGTCTCTAAGGTAACATGAAAATTTTCTCAAAACTGTATGTTGACACACACACACACACAATAATATACAGCTGGCTCAGGGATTTTAAGTTTTATTTGCACCATTATTTTATAACATACGTATCTATCTCAAGCAGGACATGTACGTGGCTCTGAACTAGTGATCAACAACGGTCTTCGGTCCATAACACTGGTTGTATTCACCGTCTTTATGTGGACCCAACTCGACGAAGAAGCAATATGTTTCCTATTCACGATGTCAGTAAGGGAATTTTTCCTTTAACCTTTCTTCGTATACTTTATCAAACCGCTCGCTCTGGGCCACCGTGAACCAGTTCTTCCAGTCACCAGTTATACCTACAAAACATCATGTTATAAATTAGCTTCACGGATATGTTTCATACACTGACTTGTACAATAATGCATACCGTGAAACGGTGTTAAAAGAGTGATCTCTGTGCGCAATGTGTCTTCAAACAATTATATGCATGAGAAACTCTAAATACCTTTCCTGAAGTATCCACTTGAATCATCATTCCATTGAAAGTGGTAGGTCTGGTCTTTGAGCTTCTCGTTAGCATGCTTGAGTTTCTTAAAAGAACATGCCTCGGATATGTCCTGGTATGTTTTCTCCGACAAAGGGCGCCCCAAGTAATCAGCCATTCGACGTATTTCCGAAACGCAATCCTGAAAAAGAATACCATTTCATGTGAATGTTGAGTGAGTGAGTGAGTGAGTTGTGTGTTAAGTGTTCAGTCTTATATATCGTACCTGGTTAAGTAATACTGTTTTTGTCTATGTAGTCATGGTCAGTGGAAAATCTGCTGAACCTGATATTTAGCTATCTATTCTATAGATCTTTTAGTTCTGTTATGCGTCAGTGATATTTTGTCGACGTATTACATTGAGGGAAAGCACCGTTATAAGATTTTAATACCACTTTACTCTTAACTTAATGGAATGGACTGCCTCTGATTGCCAAATTCCATAATCCCGTGTACGATATTGACTATATCATTAGCATTTGTTTTTTAGAAACTGTCAAGGAGAAAAAACAGGTGTTTGAGAAGGCGTAAGCGTGCCCCTTCCATGCCTGTTTGGCATACCTTTTTCATGTCTTCATAGTGCACACTGCACATTTGAAAGTTTTCGTGGACTTCAGATATGTTGGTCCATTCAAGAGTGTGTTCGAAATAGGGTCCGCCAGGAACTTTGAAACATGTCAGAGGAAATTAGTTTAATACATATGTTAGTCTGTTGTGAATATGAGTATTTTGTGGTAATATAATTGACCAATACGTGGTCTCACCTGCAATAGGAAAACATCAGTTCTTTCAGCTTATACTTTGTACTGATTTTGAAATTAGACTGCTACTAAACAATCGTCTGTTGACTTTCAATACTTTTAGCAAATAACTTAGTTAAGCACCCCTAACATATCTCACGATTGAATGCGCCCTGATATAACCCTTTGGAGCATATATGGGACATGAGTGGTCGTCGTATGCAACAAAAGGATCCTCCTGTACAGAACCTGGCCAAATTGGAAGCTGCTTTACACGATGAATACCGTAGATTGCCCCTTCAGAGCATCAGGAGGCTGACAGGGGGTATGAGGAGGCGAGCGATGGCTGCCATATAGTCACATGGAGGCTTACGGTGGATATTGACCTTGAATCGTGTAAGACACGCAAACTGACATTTTGAATGTTCACATTCACTAATAAATTCAAACCTTAAACGTTCCAGGGCCATACTTGTACAGACATGGTTTTGTATGACACTCAGTTTGTTTGTTTGTTTCAAATGAGCAATTATGATCATAAAATCAACATGGATTCAAATCATTTTATGAGTCAAAGGATCATACTGTTCAGCAAGACTCATATATACAGGGGGTGCATAATTAAGTTCTTTGTGTAAACCTATATATTTGGTTGGAGGCACCGACAAAAGACTTTCGTAAGCTTACCTGAAAAGATAGTGCAGCTTGTTATAAACAAAACGCTATCACAATTCACACATTCTATCGTCCATGGATGAGTGAGTGAGTCTAGTTTTACACCGCTTTTTAGTAATATTCCAGAAATATCATGGCCCGTACATGAGAACAAGTTACTTAGTTAACAAAGTAATAATTAAAACCTGCCATAAAGGGCAGTAAAACTGTAAGGTGTGTTCAGTTAAAAAGACATCTTTTAAACCAAATAACTTTTCATCGGGTCATGTAGGGTACAGTAAAACCAAAGTAAGACCACATTACTGGGGATCGTGAAGACTTACGAAGCTCCTTGTCCTGCAAGATTTATTCTAGAAAGCATTATAATAGCCAGAATTGAATAACATCTCATGATGAGAGACACATACATGCTCCGTTCAGAAAAATATCAATGAAGTCGTCCCAAGTGCCAGTGTAGGACGGTTTTGCCACAGGGTTGTCCTTCCAGACCTGCTTGGTTGTTTGATTGAAGGACGACACCACGCAGTCCTTAGGATTCCTCCTGACGTACACAACTTTACATCTTTTGTGCCATACATCATCTGGTAGTTGGCTGCAGGCATAGTTTACATTTCTGAGTGAGTGAGTGAGTTAACACTTGAAGTCACATCGGCAATATTTCTGCCATACCGTGACTAAAACTAGCTTTAAATTCTTTAAAAAATACATATAATTTATAAAGCCCTGTCAACGAAGGACAGTAAAATTACTCGGTTATCACATATTTGTTTAAACTAGATCAAGGAGAATTAAAACAATAAACTGACAATTAACGACACCAGAAAACGATTGGCAAGAGATCGCCAGCAAAGGGTTTACATTTTCGTTTTAACAACATTTGAAAACATCTTTCAGTCTAATTTTCCTTCCGTGTTTACATTTTGTTGAAAAGAACTCCTCTTTATATGGGACTGGTTATAAACATTCGCTTGTTCACTACCTCGAAGCGTCCTTGGTGTATGCTATCCGATTTGCATTGAATGCAGCTATTAGAAAAATAAACTCACGGAGTTACAACCTCCTTATATTCATAATAATACAAATCAAACTTTTGTGTCATAAATTTCATACCTTGGACGCAGATGTGTGTGGAGGATCCTTGGTGAAGCCAGCGCCTCCAGCTCTTCGTGCGTCCTGTATTCCAGCCAGGCTGAGTTCTGCCAGTGTTTCGCATACTCGGCCTTGCCTACCACGATCATGTTGAGGATCTCCCAGGTCCAATGTGTACCTTGAGTGTTTATATCAACAAAAAATACCAAGGGGAATCCATTATTTCATAAATATCTCAAATTCCTCAAATAAAATTATCAGATGTGAAGGTTAGTTAAAACATACTAACTGAAAATATAATTGACACATAGTTATTCGATCGTTTAAATTCCTAAACTCTTATACTACGACTTGAAATCAATTGCATTAAACAGATAACGTTCTTAAAACGGACTGTTATAGGTTGAGCGACTATTTCAAAAGGATGTCAAAGGAGATATACTGGCTGACATGTCTCTAATCTGCCAGTTTTGAAAAGTAATCACATCATTTATTTCTTGAAAGGAATTCGAAAATCACACAATAGTGATTTATCAGACAATAATGTTTTAAGAAAAGCAATATTTGTGGATGTCAGCTTTTTTATGTGAATAAACATCACGTTCGTTTCAGGGTGTATGCTTGCTCCATCATCTGGTGATAAAGGAGCAAGGTGATGAAGGAGCAAGGTGATGAAGGAGCAAGGTGATGAAGGAGCAAGGTGATAAAGGAGCAAAGTGATGAAGGAGCAAGGTGACGAAGGAGCAAGGTGATGAAGGAGCAAGGTGATAAAGGAACAAGGTGATGAAGGAGCAAGGTGATGAAGGAGCAAGCGTACACCCCGAAACGTCGTGTTTATTCACAGAAAGAAGTTGACATCCATTACTTCTAAATGGCTTCCTTTGTTTGCAAATGGCATTATTCATGACTCCACAGTGTATTACCTGACTTTGGGTAAGTGCAGAGTAAGATGTCGTCGTCACGGATAGGAATAAGCTTCACATTCTTTATCGTGTCCAACACTATAGCAGCCTGCACGAGACCGTCATCCATCACCAGTTCAACATTGATCCCTGCCGCCATTGCTTTCTCTGCTGGCGTCGACATCTCTCCTAACACATTAAAGTGAGTGAGGTACATTTAAATCCGATTTAAACAATATTCCACTTGCGACAGATCATTTCACCTGTATGTGTAAGGAAATCCTGCAGTTTTAAGAGGTGTAACTACCATACACGAGCATAAGAATGCTGCTTACAAACCTAGATGGAAAATGTGGGTAGATCAGGAAATTACAATCTTCGCTTTCTGTTGGTAGGCAAAAAACTCATTGCGGTTCCTCAGACGCACTACCTTTATCAAATGGCCACACATTTACTATTCAAACATGATACACTGTAGTATGCTTTTCACAAATAAATATGCAAATGAAATAAAGCGCATGGCCCAACTTCCACAGATATAGTGCTCATTATGCTCACTAACAGTCCTGACCTAAAGCAGTGTGTATTTTATGTCCTTAAATTATGAATAATTTCCACAAAGGTGTAATCTTGAAAATTACCCTTTGGCTGAATACGTTGCTCAAAACCCTCAAGCGGTACAAACTGTGTAACTCGCAGCGTCTATCTTAGACAATAGACGTGCTATACTTGTATGTATGTGTCTACTTGACTATCTACTGGATGTCTACTGGGCTATCTGCCAGATCTCTCCGTGCATCATATTATAACATTATTGTCCTCCTGATACGGTACGCAAGTCCCAAAACATTCAAAGTAAATTTAAACATGCTGCTATCTGTAAACCGCAGTATATTTTATATTTATTTATATTTATGGCTAGATTGTCAAAAACTGGTATTAGCTGAAGGGATGGTGTAAATCCGTACAAGAAGCAAATGCACTGTATGTTTGGGGATCTTCCTCCAGTTGTTTAATATTTTCTTCAATAATTAAAATATTTAAGATTTACATACTAGTCTTGTATTCATATCTGTGATATTCTAGTTGTTTTACAGTCTTTCTGCGACAGTTTGTAAAAAAACAATAACTGTGTATTATGAATTTATATTTTTGTTAGTCACGGTATGGCTGAAATGTCTTAAAATCTTAAACCAGTTAGTCACTCACTCACCATGCATCAATATAATGCTAGTCAAAACAAAATCATTGGACGTTCAACGCATTATATTCATCATCACAGAGGTCACATCAATACTACAGGATATGCACTACTTACGTCGCACGTCACAGTATAACTGTTTGGCTAAACAACAACAACAACCGAGGAATACTACCCACGTAATAACTGGTCGATAACACATGATGTGTACCACTTATTGTATATGACATGACGTCACTGGCTAGTCTGTAACACCTGAATTGTGATCTTATATTCCATGGCAATACATCACTGCTGAGATAGTCCATAACACCCGAACGTTACTATTTCTTTTTAATGAGAATACATAACTACTAAACTCTATTATAGAATTAAACTAATGCTAGATGACAATAAATCACTGCAACGCTAGTCGACTACAGCCAGAGCGTGACACTTGTTTTATATAGAGTATACTACACGAGGTCAGATACCATAGGAACGACACTCGTTTCGTATAATTCGTATGTTATGAGACCGAGTGAGGTATTTTATTTATTACCCACGTCTTACATGCATTAAATTGACAAAATAGCGTATTTTTGTTGTTTCTATGGTTTCAAACCGAAACCGGTTTCATAAAGAGGTTGCGAAAGAATGCATGAGGTGCATGAGGTGGGGTGAGGTGAAATTGGGTTTAACGTCGTGCTTGAGAATATTTCGCTCATATGACGACGTGCATGCTTGTGTATGGGTATGTGCGGCTGCTTGTACTAGCCCAAACGTAAGCTGGTTTTATAGTGCTAGCCCACTGAGATACCATGCCGCAGTGAAGCACGAATACCCCACTCAGACACATTATACTGACTCCGAGCCGACCATTCCTTGTTGTACCCATTAATGCCGAGCGCCAGGCAGGGACCAACAAGTACCATACCGTAGCGTCTTTTGGAATGACGCGGTCGGGGATCGAACGCGCGACCTTCCACTCTCCGGGCGGATGCTCTAACCACTACACCACGGAGGCGGTACTTTTGCATGACGTCACACTGTAATGACGTCACTACGCCTTGCTTGTCTGCCCCCTTGGTTACCGACGTCACGATGCATGTCAGTTGTCATCGCCTCGTACAGGTTCATACATAAACTACTCCGTAGCACCCCGTTTCTTAGTTTGCAGTTGCTTCACTCGGCTAACAGCACTTGTGAAAACTTTGCATTTATGTTTTTCGACGCATATAATGTCTTGGTTGGACTCACAATTAAACAGCGATGCGGCAACGTTCGCAATGTTTACATTCCCACAATGCATATAAATTGTAGAATGAATGAATTCACGTGTTTGTTATGAATGAAAAAGTAGTTCTGTCACAACGTGACCTAATTCAGAGGTCATCGGTTATCCAATCAAATCGTTAGAATCTCAGGTCAAGTCGTTACAACATAGGTCAACGCGATACGACACTCGTGTGACGTACGAGATTAGTATGCAACCACCCATACGTTGACCACGTGGGTAATAAATGACAATACATCACTGCTAGGTTAGTCGATAACACCCGAAGTGTTCTATATATTTTAAATGATAATAAATGCCAGCTCGGCTTGTCAACAGCCAGAGTGTACGACTTAATTATATCGCAATACACCATGATAGTCGGTAACACCCAATGCGCAATACTCATTTTACATGACAATACATAATTTCAAGGCCAGTCGATAGTAACTAAAGTGTACAAATAATTTCACATGACAATACATCACTGCTTAGATAGTCGATAACACCCGATGCGTACTAATCATTTCACGTGACAATACATCACTGCTTAGATAGTCGATAAAACACGATGCATACTAATTATTTTACATGACAATACATCACTGCTTAGATAGTCGATAACGCCCGATGCGTACTAATCATTTTACATGACAATACATCACTGCTTAGATAGTCAATAACACCCGATGCGTACTGATCATTTTACATGATAATACATCATCAATGTGTACTACCTACTGTATCTGACAAGGATATTCAATAGCATCCGATGTGAACGACATATATTATGCGTCAATATATTTCTGCGAAGCTCGTCAATAACACCCGATGCGTGCTATTCACTCAATACATCTGTCTTCGGCTTGTCAATAACATCAGAGGTCTCTATTACTTACTGGTTATACTGTGCATCAATTCTAAGAACAGTCTGTCACTCGTGGACTACTTCAGAACTTGTCACCACGACAGTGTATTCAAATGTCAACGATCGGTTCAGTAGTCAAGTCTCCCCTTTCAAGATTCCAGCTCTCACACACTGCCGACTCAATACTCCTCCTATGTGCTATGTTTATGTAGGTCATGAAACTTGCGTTACTTGTGTCAGTATACCTTCATGGTCCCGATACACACATTGCCCTCCTTCTGTGAGCAATGCTTCTCGTTGTCAGTGATCAGCAATGTTTTTTGTCATTATGTTTGATTTACGGGAAAGGTGAGGGTAATCCGCCGTGTGATAACGAAAGAACCGACCTACTTTGGCTGAGCGTTGACAACCATGACACTGCGAAACTTAGTTCGTATTATACACCACTGTGCTTCACTGCCAGTGTCGTCAATACTGTTTCTACCACTGTGTATTCCCATGCATAACTGCTATACTGGTCAACAGCAACAAGAACTGATGTCTAGCCTAGTCAAAAACGCTGGTTGTGTAGTACAATCATATATAACTTTGCAACAGTTTTTAATATTATGAGATGTGCAATACATAACGAAACATTACACTACTCAATGACTATGCAAAACTTAGGATCACTGTCAGACTAACCAAGTACATTTGATACGAACACGACCTGTAGGTATTCCATTAGCAGTTACATAATGCAACATAACACAGTGCACAAAGACCATCATCTACCTATTTCAAAGTAATCCACATTACGACCAACTTACATTTGAAATCAGCGATCGTCAACGATCTTCCGGTCCTGTCCCAACACACCGCACTATGATAAGACCGCACTAGGAGCAGTGATACAGGTCACGGGCTCCGTGTGATTATGCAAATATACCCTCTTGCATCTACATTTCCGTATTTTTTATTGTTGCACAGGAACACAACCTGAACAAATATATATATTGTACGGATCCGGATCTTTGACAAAAACGTCAGATTTCAAGTTGTCAGCACACAGTGCCTGAAATAATGGCTAGTTGGCCTTATTAAAATTCCACCTTGTTGTACGAGTGTACCCGAATGACACATTTACATAGTGCGAATATATACGTAACGGGGCTATCACTTTACAAACATTCCTCCTGCATTGATGTTTGCTGCACAGATATATTACCTCAACTCATACTTATTGCACGTTGATTGGGTGGGGACGGGAGGATCTGATCAAACAGGGTGAACTTGACACTGCTCATTTCGCTGACACAGGGAAACGGATAACCCAGGTGAAGTGAGTGCTCGTACAGTTTCTTTAAACATCCACGACTACTGCCGATGAGGTAACTAGCCCTGTTAGAGCTGAAATGGGTTTTAATCCCCACACCCACCCCACAACCACACACTCCGCGAGGAGGACGTGTTTGAAAATAGGTTTCACCATATGCTGTGGACATACTACCACCATGATATATCGCACAACCATTTCCCCATATGGAGGACAAGACATAGACGTAGGGAACGACCTAATCACACAATTTGTGTATATGTACGTTGTGAAATGTATGCCATGCAGACTGTGCAACATTTCTAACCTGTAAAGATTCATTTAAGATTTGGTCTGCAGGAACCCATGCTTGTCATTAGACTAGCGGGTTCGGGTTGTCGGGTTGTCAGGCTTGCTCATTTTGTTGACAAATGCCATCGTATCCAAATTGTGTAACGATGTTCATTCTGTTGATCACTGGGTTGTCTCATCCAAACTCCATACAGCTAGAATACTGCTGAATGCGCATTTAACAAAAGACTAACTAATAGGTCTCAAAAGTTCGGGCATTGTCGGATGACAGACCAAGCCCTAATTAAGTACCGTGGTCAAAACACCGACCACTGCTCTCCATGCAGACCCTGTTCTAACTGGAGGAACTTTCAAGGACAGATTTAGTATTGCGGACAACATTGACACCAATTTTATTTACGATTAATTGGGTAACACAATGATTGGACTTCAGTTTACGAGAATGTATAACTACCAATTCTTTAAACAATACTGGTCTACGTGTTGACATGTATAGAGCACCATTAATCCTACTAGTAGGCAAGGCAATACGGCATGAGTATGGCACCTCCAAGTCTGCGGGTATCATAATTTCTCAACGAGACATGGTTACAGCATTTATGTACAGGCGAGAGAATCCTCATCATTGATATAAAACTGGCGAAGGCCAACGATCAATCACGCCTCAGAAAACTAGTCATCAGATAACCCTCCGATAACAAGATCAAAATCTTGTATGGTCACATACTTCAATCATAGACTGTAGGACAAAGATGTTTGTCTTTGACAACAGCATCTGCGGTATTGTAGAGAGAGGTATTTCCATACTAGTGAGTAAACTGTTTACTGTACATTTAAACACAAATGGCTAACGATAATTCATTCTTTCCAACGATGTTAATAGGGAAATGTTTCATTCAAACTTTCTTCGTATACTCTATCAAATCGCTCGCTCTGGGCCACCGTGAACCAGTTCTTCCAATCACCAGTTGTGCCTGAAACACAATATGTCTTTAGTTTCATAAATATGTATCATACCAACTTACCAATTCTGCAAATAAAAAAGTGTGGATTGGCTGGATGTTAACGTTATTTCTTGAAACAGCGGAGACACACAAAGAATACAAACTTGATGTATTGCCATATACCTCAGCTTTCTCCTTGAACTGCCCCATTACCTTTTCTGAAGTATCCACTTGAATCACCTTGCCATTGAAAGTGGTAGGTCTGGTCTTTGAGTTTCTCGTTAGCATGCTTGAGATTCTTAAAGGAGCATGCCTCGGATATGTCCTGGTATGTTTTATCCGACAGTGGTCGGCCCAAGTAATCTGCCATTCTTCGTATTTCCCGAACGCAATCCTGCAAAGGAAACAATTCCATGATAATATTACTGGACCTATGCCTTCTATAGTTTTATTATATAGACCTTTACTTGCGTATGTGTGCATCTTCTCGGGGCAGTCTTCCTAGTCTTGACGACCCTCGTCATCATTCAAACAGAACATATTTTGAAATTGGTAACAGACAGACATTTACAAGATTGCTACAGTATTTCACACAACGAATGAATGCCAAGATCTGAACAGGATTGCTACTACATTCACCAAGCACTGCGTTTATAGAAACATAATATTTTCCTGTAAGAGTATGTTACATAGTGTCATATAAACTTCTAACTATATTTGCATGTAGTTGAGTATTTACAACTGATAAATCAAGCAAAATGCCACAGTATATAAAAAGGGCATATAAGGGAGTTTAATACATTGCCAAATTGTTTCTGACTATATTGAAAGTGAATACCATTCTTTGCTGAATACCACTATTTTGCGGATTCTGGAAATAAGGGCATACAATATTTGTTTGTTCCTGGTATTCATTGTTGAACAGATTTTGCACATATTAGAGGGATCCAGTCTTGTACAGTCCTTTCACATTATGTTATAGTGACTGCAATCGGTTAGTAATTTCAGTGAAAGTGAAGAGGTGTCAAAATTATCCATAACACGAAGGAGTTGCTTACGTTGAGGCCGCGATTTAGACACTCTTTTGTAGGTTTTGTTAGCTTTGTGAATATCAAATTCAAATTAAATAGATTGATTAATTAGAAATAAATAGCAAAATAGGTTAACGCATAAAACGTGTTCAGAATGATATGCCAATGTAATATTTGTCATACAAAAAGAATGAAGATAATTTACCTGGTCGTGGTGGGATTGGCACAGCCTTTTATTATGGTAAATGTATGGTTCAGAATAGAAGTGTATATCCATTTTATCTATATTCCTGATATTTGTTGGAAATGGAGATATATAGTATTGATTGCGAAATGCTTGTGAAGCAACCCCGTAATCAACACAATGCCAACTTAGAGTGTCCTTCGACTTGAGTTCGCATTTCAATTGAAAATGAGGTACTGACATGAAACATCTACACAATGTAACGCTCTACACGCATGACAATGCCCAACCTATCTGAGATTTCAGTTGTAGTAATACCACAGAAAAGGCCAGCGGTGGTTCCTGTTTATACCATGAATCAAACATGTCATTGAATTGAACATTAGATGAACAGCAAATGAAAAAGTAATACAGCACTCGTTACATATTTGCAGACATTCGTTATACATTTACAAAAATCGTTCAGACAGAATATATAGAGGCCTGTGCACACAATACAGACCTGGCGCACCTCTCTCACATGTAGGAAAATACTGTAACATCTTACCACACATGTCTATAGGCGTACCTGTTTCATGTCTTCATAGTGCACTTTGCAAATTTCAAAGTTTTTCTTGGCTTCAGAAATGTTGGTCCATTCAATGGTGTGTTCGAAATAGGGGCCTAGGGGTACTTAAACAAACATAGCAAAGGATATTTAGACATATGTTAATGATACTGTGGTAAATATAACGATTTATAATATAACGATGTTTGTGGTACTCATGCTGTAAATTGCATCATGTGTAAAAATATACACTTTCAGGTCTTTCATTTTCGTTTGAATAATGTTGCGATTATTATTACAGTAATATTTGGGTGGAGACGTCAGTAAGCATCTTCTAAAGTGTCCCAAAATGTATATCTTATGTAGTAAACATTATCAATACAACAACATCAATAATACATGTTGGAACACATCCCTTGATGATAGACACCTACTGCATCCGTTAAGGTAAAGATCAATGAAGTCGTCCCAGGTTCCAGTATAAGTAGGTTTGCCAGTAGGGTTGTCCTTCCAGATCTGTTTGGACAATTGACTGAATGACGACACCACGCAGTCCTTTGGATTCCTCCTGACGTACACAACTTTACATCGTTTGTCCCATACTGTCTCGGGTAGTTGGCTGTAGTTTATAAGGTTTACCGGTTGAATAGAATTTGGACTTGCAGTTGGAAAGCAACCGACAAACGTGAATAGCATTTATATTTTAACTCACACATAACAGGTTCATGTAGTTTCTACTTGAAGGTGTTCATTGGAAAAATAATATATTCCTATTCCGATATACACATTTGCTAATTTGTATCAAGATTTGTTTCATACCTTGGACGCAGGTGGGTGTGGAGGATCCTTGGTGATGCCAGTGCCTCCAGTTCTTCCTCTGTCCTGTATTCCAGCCAGGCTGAGTTCTGCCAGTGTTTCGCGTACTCAGCCGTTCCTGCCACGATCATGTTGAGGATCTCCCAAGTCCAGTGCGTACCTTTAGTGTCAGTAATAAGAGAGATGGCCAAATAAACTCCATTATGCCATGGAAATCGATACCTAAAAGGGTGCACATTTTCAGATGTGTTCAAAAGCAGTTGTATATATAGTCTGATAAATATGATTGGGGAAATATATGACAGGTTGAGAAGAATATTGTTTGAATTAAAATTTAAACTGGGAGTCTACTTGATCGTTAAATCTTGTGACTGTTTTTACTTCTTTCTTTCTAATTTCTCAGACATTGTCTTGAGTTTTCAAAAGAAATTTGATTATGCAATGTACGAAATGTAATCTAAACTCAAATATGTTTTCTAAGAGGTATGGAAATAAAAGGATGGTTGAGACAATACTGTTCATCGCCATAACAAATTCCATAACAAGGTTACCTTAATTTGTGTATCTTCTTGTTCCATTACTCAATAGAACAGATATTCATCTTCCTGTGATATTTGTTGCAAGTTATCAAATGACAGAATATGATCATGCTTTACTGACGAGTTAGTTAATATGTGAGTGGAAAGGATGGTGCGCCTTTTCAACCATCGTTTTGCAATGTGATAGTGAGGGTACGCCACAGATTGGAATCAAAGTCATCCTTTTCCTCAACTAGGCTTTACATTGGTAAGTCGAAATATTGGATCGTGAGATAAATAGTTCTTTAGCAACCATTCATTTTTCAGATGACTTTAGATATTATTTATGTTCAATTGTCCTTTGAAGGCATAAATAGTCAATGTTATTATTTATATCTATGTCAACGTGATAGTACCTGACTTCGGGTGTGTGCAGAGTAAGATGTCATCATCGCGGATGGGAAAATCCTTTACTCTCTTTAACCTGTCCACCATGAACTCTACTTGCACAGACCCATCAAGCATCACCAGGTCAGCATTCACCCCGGCCGCTGTTGCTTTCTCCGCTGGCGTCGCCATCTCGACTAACATATTAAAGTGAGTGTATGAGTTGTCAATAACATCTGACGTTACTATCTACTTTATAGGGGGTTGAGGTAGCTTGATGGTTAAAGCATCCGTTCGACAGGCTTGAAGACGTGCATTCAAGTCTCCACATGGTTAAAATGTGTGAAGCCCATTTCTGAAGTTCCGCGCGTGAAATTGTTAGACTATTGATAAAGGTGGCGTAAAACCAAATTCACTCGCTCATTCAATCACTTCAAAGGTCAAAGCATAAATTAGTTCCTGGTACTTGACACCTCATTACTAAAACTGAAATGTGCATGCATTTCTAAACGTCACTGTCAGACTGCCCAATCTATTAAAAATAATTTTATGTGCGTGACAGTATGATCGTCAACAACACTTAATAAAACTACATATTACATCTCATATGGTACATTATCCAACCAATTAAGAGGCCCTCTCAGTAATATAACATATGCAAGTAATCAACATTACAGCGTACTTACACTCGAGGATCAATGATGGTTTAAAGCAGATTTAAACTCATCTGCTCCTGTCACAATACACCGCCAGGGTACCAAGACCACATTTGTAGCATAATATAGAACACGTGTCAATGCATTATATTCGTCATCACAGAGGTCACATCAATACTACAGGATATGCACTACTTACGTCGTTCGTCACAGTATTACTGTTTGGCTAATCAACAACAACCGAGGAATACTACTCATATAATAACTGGTCGATAACACATGATGTGTACCACTTATTTTATATGACATTACGTCACTGGCTAGTCTGTAACACCTGAATTGTGATCTTATATTCCATGGCAATACATCACTGCTGAGATAGTCCATAACACCCGAACGTTACTATTTATTTTTAATGAGAATACACCACTACTAAACTCTATTATAGAATTAAACTAATGTTAGATGACAATAAATCACTGCAACGCTAGTCGACTACAGCCAGAGCGTGACACTTGTTTTATATAGAGTATACTACACGAGAGACACGAGGTCAGATACCATAGGAAGGACACTCGCACCTCTTTTCAGCGAGATAATTCGTATGTTATGAGACCGAGTGTTGGTATCAGAAGAAGTATTTATTTATTACCCACGTCTTATGAATGCATTAATGTTTTTATGAAGTTTACTGAATTGTAATTAGTTGTTTTCCATAATCTAAAGTTTGTAATGTTACCTAAGCGAATATAAAGTGATAAGTCGCGCCTTTGCATCGAATGCATATATACATGTCAGTGTTATTACAACAATGAAAT